CCAGTGGCCTCACCCCTGCTAATCCCAAACTCTGGCGAGACCAGGAGTTTGAGACTAGCCGGACACATAGCAAGACCCTCAATGTGTCTCTTTTTTGTTTTGTTTGTTTTGTTATTTTTGAGACAGAGTCTTTACTCTGGTTTCACCCAGATTGGGCTGTATTGGCGTGAGTCAGCTTACTGCCGCTTCCCTGCCGCCCAGCGCCTCAAGTGAGCTTGCCCCTCAGCTCCGAGTAGCTAGCCATTACGAGCAGTGCAACACTACCACCAGCCTAATTTTTGTATTTTTTTAGTAGAGCATGGGCTTTCACCGAGTTGGCCTGGGCCTGAGCTTGAACTCGCTGACGTGCAAAGGACCCCGCCCGCACTCTGCCAAAGCACGGGATTATAGGCCTTTCAGCCACCATCGACAGACTGGCCCTTTTTGTTTTTTTTTTGGAGACAGCGTCTCACGTGGTTGTTCAGGGCCTAGGGCCTGCCCCAGGGGATCTTGCCTCGCCTGCAGCCTGACATGCCTGGGATCAAACAGTGCCACCTCAGCCTCCCAAGTAGCTGGGACTACAGGTGCGTGCCACCATCCGTCGCTGGTTTTTTAACTTTTTGTAGAGACGGAGTTTTGCCATGCTGCCCAGGCTGGAACTGCTAGGCTCAAGTGATCCACCTGCCTCAGCCTCCCAAAGTGCCGCTGCTACAGATGTGAGCCACCATGCCCAGCCATGTCCCATTTTTAATTGCATCTTAACCCTATCATATTTAATTAGAAGTCCCTTAGAATAGGCATTATTGTTATGTTGCGATATATCTGTTCATGAAAAGCATAATACTCTGGAATTGCACTACAGTTAACAGGGTTGTGAAGAAAGTAATGGTAGGTAGTTGCTCAAAACCTATGCAATTTTGTAATCAGTACTATCAAATAGTAATCCTAATAAAATTATTACCACAGTTCAAAAGACATCTTAAGTTCATATTAAAGAAACACTGCAGGCCAGGTGCAGTGGCTCACGCCTGTAATCCCAGCACTTTGGGAGGCCGAGCTGGGCGGATCACGAGGTTAGGAGATCGAGACCATGGTGAAACCCCGTCTCTACTAAAAATACAAATAATTAACTGGGCGTGGTGGCGGGTGCCTATAGTCCCAGCTACTCAGGAGGCCAAGGCAGGAGAATGGCATGAACCCAGGAGGTGGAGCTTGCAGTGAGCCGAGATCGCGCCACTGCACTCCAGCCTGGGTGACAGAGCAAGACTCCGTCTTAAAAAAAAAAAAACTACAATTAAAAAAGGTCTATTTAAAAAAAAAAAAAAGTCTATTTTAAAATTAAAAGGTGGGCATAGATTGAAAGGGTTGAAGCTGCTAAGTTAGTTAAGAGCGAAAATGCACAAAGGTCAGGGAGAGCTTTGTAATAAGCATTTCTAAGAGAGGACAAATGGTGAAACTGAGTCACAAATCCAAACTTGGGTAAATCTGCATTGTGTATAGCAGTGGTTCTCTATCGAGGACAATCAGATGTCCCCTCAGTGGGCGTTTGCCAATGTCCATAGACATTTTTGGTTGTCACAATTGGAGGTGGGGTGGGGTCTGCCACGAACATCTAGTGAATAAAAGTTAGGGATACTGCTAAAGGTCCTATAATGCACAGAGCAGCCCCTACAACAAGGAATTAGGCCCAAAATGTTAATTGTGCTGAGATGAAAAACATTTATATACAAACAATATTGTTACTCCACAGCTTTCTGTTTTCAGATGTTAAGAGTGCTGCAAAATTCTTTTTTTTTTTTTTGAGACAGAGTCTCGCTCTGTCTCCCAGGCTGGAGTGCGGTGGCCGGATCTCAGCTCACTGCAAGCTCCGCCTCCTGGGTTCAAGAGATTCTCCTGCCTCAGCCTCCCGAGTAGCTGGGACTATAGGCACCTGCCACCATGCCCAGCTAATTTTTGTATTTTTAGTAGAGACAGGGTTTCACCATGTTGGCCAAGATGGTCTTGATCTGTTGACCTTGTGATCCGCCTACCTCGGCCTCCCAAAGTGCTGGGATTACAGGCGTGAGCCACTGCGCCCAGCATAACCTGTAATTTAAAAAGAAAGTTAAGTAACAGGTAGTAAAAGATTCCCTTAAACCAACTACTTGGTCAAATTATATTAATCTTTTTGTAGCTTTTATCTTACATAACCAAGCTGCCTTCTGGAAGCTTGTATCAGTTTTTACTTCCACCAATGATACACTCAAGTAATCTACAAACACACTAGAAATTATACTTCTTGTCCAGCTGAGAAATGCATATATTTAAGTCAGTGCCACTTTAATATTTAAGAAATAATTTCACGCTGGGCACGGTGGCTCATTACTGTAATCCCAGCACTTTGCGAAGCTGAAGCAGGCGGATCACTTGAGGTCAGGACCAGCCTGGCCAACATGGTGAAACCCCGTCTCTACTAAAAATACAAAATTAGCTGGGCATGGTGGTTCATTCTTGTAATAATCCCAGCTACTCGGGAAGCTGACATAGGAGAATCACTTGAACCCAGAAGGTGGAAGTTGTGGTGAGCCAAGATTGCGCCACTGCACTCCAGCCTGGGTGACAGAGCGATACACTGTCTCAAAAAATAATAATAATAACTACAGGTAAGTCTTCCTTTTCTTTATTTAATATAGATGTTCTTGTTCTCGTAGGAAAAGCTGAATCTCAGTTGTATCCATAGTCCTGTTGTTAATGAACTTATGAGAGGAATTCGTTCACAAATGGATGGATTAATCCCTGGGGTAGAACCACGTGAAATGGCAGCTATGTGTCTTGGATTGGCTCACAGGTGAGAATTACTGGAAAATAAAGTCAACTTACTTTTATTTGATAAGCACTTAACATAGCATTGTTCTAAGAATATTACAAATGTTCATTTGAACCTCATCAGAACCTTATGATTATAGTAATATCCTCATTTATAGATGAAACTGATGCCCAAGGTCAGTATAGCTAGTAAGTGTTAAAGCCAGGATTTGAACCCAGGCAGTCTGGCTCCATTGTCTGGATTCTTAAAACCTCAAAACCTCATCAAAGGAATTCTCTACTCCTCTGATCTTGGATCCCCTATTTCTTGGACTTTCCTTCTTTTATCTCTGCTAAGTCATGCCACTCCTCCATCTACTTAATATTTCCCCAAATTCTGTCATCTGCTATGGTCTTATGGGGTAGGTGTGTATTTGTGTTTTGATTGTTTTACTGTGATATTTAATGAGGCAAAGAGGACTAGGTGCAGTGGCTCACCCCTGTAATCCCAACTCTGGGAGACCAGGAGTTTGAGACTAGCCTGGGACAACATAGCAAGACCTCATGTGTCTCTTTTTGTTTTGTTTTGTTTTGTTTTTTTTGAGACAGAGTCTTACTCTGTCACCCAGATTGGAGTGTAGTGGCGTGATGTCAGCTTACTGCAGCCCCTGCCTCCCAGGCTCAAGTGATTTTCTTGCCTCAGCTTCCGAGTAGCTAGGATTACAAGCGTGCAACACTACCACCCAGCTAATTTTTGTATTTTTAGTAGAGATGGGCTTTCACCTTGTTGGCCTGGCTGATCTTGAACTCCTGACCTCAAATGATCCACCCGCCTCAACCTTCCAAAGAGCCGACTGGGATTATAGCGCTTTCAGCACCACGACGTGATGACTGCCTCTTTTTGTCTTTTTTTCTCTTGGCAGACAAGGCTCACTGTGCTTGTTCAGGCTTTTAGCGGGCCAAGCTCGGCTGCGATCTTGCCCGTCGCG